TATTTATATAGTAAAACAGATTTGTAGGGGTCCAACTTACCCCCAGTCTTCCTGCGGCCACGCAGTCGGTTCCTCCATCGCCGTCCACATCCGCGCTGCAGTGCAGCGAGAAGACGTTGGCCACGCTCCAGGATTGCCAGAGGATGGACCCGTCCACTCCGTCCAGGGCCACCACTCCGCCCTCGCAGGGCACCTCCTCGCCCTGCTGGGCGGACTGGCATCGGGGCAGGGGGATGCCCTCGTAGTGGATGTTGTCGTCGACGCCATATCCGAAGACCACGTCCCTGATGCCATCGCCATTGAGGTCGGCCGCCCGCAGGGGACTCTCGCTGTTCATCCGGGCCAAGCTGCGGCTCCAGCGCTTCTGGACGCTGATCTGGGTGCAGGGCACGAACTCGCTGCCCTGGGAGCTGCCGTAGGCGATGCGGGAGGAGCCGGCGGAGATGCCCACCAGCTGGGCGGGATCGGGGCGCCACCAGTGGCGGATTCGCTGCAGCGGCAGCGGGAAGAGCGTCAGCATGAGGGCCGCCAGGCTGAGCAAGGCGCAGAGAACCGTTAGGGCGGCCAAAGCGTAGCAGAAGGGTTCGCAGCAGCGGCAGCAGCGCCGCCTCCTGTGCTGCTTCATTATAGGAGTCGAACCCGATCCCGATCCTGGTCCGGATCCAGGACTATGCTTGCGACGCGGCGCCATCAAAGGCCGCTTCAGGCCCTGCTCCTCGCTGCGCTGTGGGAGAAAAGCAGAGTTTGGTTAATCCATTCATTTTTAAGAGACTTAACTTATTTTTACACAATTGCTAATAATTCCACTAAATAATAATTAACACAATTATAAATTATAAATTAAAAGTTTTAAAGATCTCAAAGAACAATGCTTTCATGTTCATCAACAATATTCTTTGTAAGAAGGAATACCAGATAAAATTATGCTTTCGATTTTTAAACCAAAAATTTAAATATTTTTCTTTAAATGTTATACCATAAAATTATTATTGGTATTTTCCTAGAGATGTCTTCTTAATTGTTTAATTAATTTAGATTAAATCTATTAAAACACTCTTAATTTGACACATAAATATTCGTATAAGTACTATATAAACAAAAGAAAAGGAAGATTAAAAGATAACAACACAAAACCTGACATATGGAAGTTGAATACTGCTGATAGGTTTTAGCAAAATGAAAAACATACATTTTTTTACCTCTTCGACATGACTAATTGGAATAGATTAAAAGTTTTTCATTGTTTTCGCACACAAATTTTCTTTATATGTACACATGAAAGTTCAGACGAAGTTTATTCACTCTTTTTTTTTTACCCCTTTTAGGAAACTTTTGTATTTCACTTTGGGACCGAACATATCCCTTATGATTTCCAATGCGGCTACTAACCTTGGCCGACCTGGCATCCTTGATGAGCACCTCGTCCTCGACATCGTCGCTCGCATCCTCATCGATGGAGGAGTCCCGTATGGCAATCCGCTTGGAGGGCACATATGGTCGCAGTTTGATCATCTTTCGGTCCGATTCCGCTGGCGCGGATGCACCACCAAGCTGCGTCTGCAAGAAATCCTCTGTTTTAGCCGCTCGAAGGATGCGTTGCGGATCCTTTAGAGCATTCTGTGGCTCCTGTTTTTCCGTGCAACTCCAATTGCAACGATGCGCGTCCGGCGATTGTGTAAAAATCAATAGCGACGTCACGGTTTCGCGCTCAGCTGTCTGCGATTGCGGAGCATGCGCCCTGAAGGCTTTCCTCTGGAGCCACCCGAACCACCACCCACTGGAGCAAAGGCCACGTGTTGGCCAGCGGCTACAGGTTTGTTTGTCAACAATGTGGCGGCCCACCTGGCCAGCTCTCTTTCCCTTTCTCTCTGGCTCTCTCCTGCGACATCTGTTGCCCAACGGACCCACCACCACCACCCCAAAGCCACCCCATTGCCACCCCATGGCCACCCCCTATGGCCATCCACATACCCACCCTCCAGCCAAAACTCCCTTATTAGCTCCTCCCCAGCGGTTCAATGTCCTCGCTTTGAGGCTTTTCATGAATGAAGTGGGTGGAGTTGGGATATGTGGGCGGTGGGTTGGGATGTTCCATTCACCAAACTTCCGCGTGCCGCCAATGTGGGTCACATCTTCTGTGGCACACTGTGTGTGGTTTCCCCGCTCGCCAGAGCTAGTGATTAATATTTAATGGCATTTTGTCTGCCTTTCAGCGGCAGGAAGTGAAAAAAGATAGAACAAGCTGATATATCAGCGTTCGATTGAAGGTAATTTGGTGGTGGAGGTTAGGACTCTTTATAAGGTAAATAAATATTAAAATATTGAAGAATAAAGCTTTATAGGAGCGGCCTTTCCATCAAAAATTAGTGATTACCAGTATATTGATAAATAATAAATTTTAATATACTTCAAGAATGTTAAAGATTCATATCTATAGTTCTGTGAATAGATCCTTTTTTAAATAGCCCGACTTAATAATTATAATTACCTAATCTATGTTTTCTGATTTAAAACTAAGCTCTAAGCCCTTCTAAAGTGCAAAATTAGAACGGTATTTTCCAAACTGCTCTTCCGTCAAAAATAATTAATGGCAATTAGTTAAATTACCTCTATAACGACAATAAAATCTTCACCAAGTTCCGTTTGCTGGGCAACATTGTGATTGGTTTTGGCCAACACAATCCAACTGACGCTCATCCTGAACGATTCCTTCTTGTTTTCTCCGCGGAAACAAATCCTGGCAATTCGAGGACCAGGCCTAATTACTCTGCAACCTTGGATCTCTTGACGTCACAGCTATTTCCTTGATATAAGATATTCATTTGACTAACAAAGTTTCTGTTTCTGTATCTATTTTTTTCTCATAATTTGTTTAACAGAATTTTCTATGACGTAGAGGCGCTTGTCAAAAGCCAAACACAAGTGAAAAGTTCCCTAGTTTTTTTTTCCCCACCCGAAGTATTCAAATTGCAAGTGCGCCAAAACCTTTTGCGAATCTGGCAGAGCCACCGCCCTGGTGCTGCCCTCAGCAGAAACTTAAGAGCACCACTTAGTGGGGTTGGGATGTGGGGGATCTGGTGGGGAATAGGAGCACTCAGTGCGGGTCCAAGCTCGACTGCATTCGAATAAACTATAGAAAAATCAGCGGCTTTTTATAGCTGCCCCATCAATAGAGAGGAGTGCATGGGGATGAGGAGGAGGAGGAGGAGGAGGAGGAGGAGGAGGATGAGGATGAGGTGTGGAGGTTGCTTAAGTGTGCTATTATCGCATCAGAGATAATTTAATAACGACGAGTCTTCTTCTTCGGTCGGAGGCCAGAAAGGATGTGTTGAATCCGCTCGAGAGTGTTGCGGCAAGGCGTTGAGTAGTGCTTGGGCGGGTGGGCGTGGCTGGTTGTGGGTGGGGCAACCACAAAACCAACATGTATGTATAATATAGTGGCCACACATGTTGGCAAACGGCTCAAGGTCGCCGGTAAATCAAAGGAGGAAGCAATTTGTTTATTACTTATGATTTTTGTGCTTATCAATTGAAACGTATAAAACATGCTTTCTACTTATCATAATTAAAATATCACTCGTAAATAATACATAAAATTACATAAGCAAAGCAATGAAAAATATAACACTCAATATCTATTCAAAGCTTTTTCTCACTCTTCACTACTTTTATTTCTTGTTTCAAGTATTTAATAATTCCCAATTACTCTTTTGTGAGGTTAACAAAAGATTATGTTCTGTATTTGTATTCTGTATAATGAGGCTAATAATAATAAAAACCATTAATTCATAATAATTACATAAAGTATGTTGAAAATCTCCGCCCTTATAATTTTTAGACGTTCAGATTAATTATTTAATTCAGAACGGCAAACTAAAAAAACCAAACTGTTATTTAAGGGCAAACAGTAAAGGTTGAGTTTTCACCCAATATAATAATTTTCATTTCTTGATATGGGAACAAATTTATTCAACTATAGGAATAAACTCTTATATTTGCGGCAAAGCTTCCTATATCGGTTCTTCTGTAATTTTCCTCATCTTTGTATCTACAATTCCGTGCATATATTTCCCATACTGATTTCCCACTTCCCAAAGCGCTTTTGTCATCTCATTAAACTTGATTTTCCCTGCAGTTTTCCTCTGGCTTTTATTTTCTATTCTTTGTTCTTCAGTTTGTGCACTCCGTGTGACGTCAGCAGGGGGATCACCGGATTACCGGGGTTCGCATTTATTAGCCAGGGTTCCCAAGAGTCGCATCCCCATCGCAGATGCCACTGGCCCCAACTTTTGATGCGACAAATGCCACTTCTGGGGCCACTTGGCAGCTTGCGAAGAACTTGTTAAGGCAGGACTAACAAGCCAATTGATTGAAAAAATGCTCAAAACTAAAGAATCCCAAGTGTGGACAAATAAAATCAGGAAACTACTGCAACATGTTCAAGAATTTTTTACCCTCGAATTAAACAAGTCGAATCGATACACATTTGTCGCATCCTGTCATGATGAGAATTGAAGGTCCTGCCCTCCACATCCGGCAGTGCATCATTATGTTCTGGGCAAGAGGGGCAGGATGACAACAATGTCGATGACGACAGAGCCGAGCAGATTATGTGGCACAAGGAGGCAATGCCAAAGCACTCGAGGAAATTATGTTAAGTGACAAACACACAGGCCGATAGCGATGCAGCCCTGGTTGGGAAAGGATATTTGCCTGTCCTATATATAGACGCATATACAAACAGGCACGATTTTCCGCCAAAAGTTCCTTGTTCTCCCAATATTAAAGTCTAGGTTTCCAGCGGCTTTCACTTTTGTTTTTCCCTTCTGCCGAGGAAGAGGACTCACCCACACGTACGGACACTTATACCAACAGCGCGTCAAGCATCCTGCATCCTTCGTTGGTGAACTTTCTGTTCGTGCCTGGCAACGTTTTAAATTCAAATCTGTTCGCCTCCAACTGTCAGTTGTCAGCGAAAGTTCGAACAGCGAAGTTTTCGAACGGAAAGAACCAAATCATAAAAAAGCAAATCAGTCAGCTATTAAATGTTAAAGAGTGCAAAGTATTTTTTAAAACATAAAATACGCTTTTGACCCATCCATAAACATTCATAAATAATTCGGAAAGCCTAAAGTGCTGTTTTTTAAACATGACAGTAAGAGCGTCGAGCTGATGGTTATGTAATCTCTGTGAAGATTCCAGAAATCCAACAGAAACCTTCGGAAACCAAAAGAATTATAGTTGACTGCAAGGGAGAAGTCATTGCCGAATTTATCCGAAAACTGTGTAAGAATTAAAAACAAATTTATAACTTACATTCAATGCACGTTTTTAAAAATAAATTATTGTACATCTCACAAATGGTTAAAAATATTTCCTTGAACGTGAACTGAATGAACATTGAGTTGAGTCTTAAAAATAATCAAAATTATTATTTTTAAAAATTATTGAACGTAACCCGAATAACATTTTAAGTTGGGTCATAAAAATAATAATAGTTGCTTTAAGTAATTGTAAGCTGCAAAATAATTTAAAACATGCATTGCTCATGTTTTTTGAAAGCGGAAGTTGACAATCTTTAAATGAGTTGAAGAGGAGAGGGGATTGTCTGATAAAAATCCCAACAAAACAAATATTTCTAAATTTTAAAAGGAGCTAAACATGATACAAAATTGAAGTATAAGTATTTGTAAGTGCAAATTATTTGCAAAGGCAAATAATTTAAATATATTTTTAAATATTTTAATTTTCCCCCTCAGGCAAACTTAAACTTTTTAAAAACTATATTGTCGACTGAAGTATTTTTGTCTATTTTTAATTTTCTTAGATCTGTTTTCTCGGGCTCATGGTAAGCTAAAAGTAGATTGTGTTATAAGAAAACTTATGAAATTTGGCAGCTTAAAAATTAAAAGAGTAATTTATTTGACAATTTTTTTCATTTCGCATCCAATTAGGTTATATTTTCTAAAGATGTGGAAAAACAAAAACATTTATTAAAGCCTATAAATGAAATTATATAAGTGGTTCAAATTTTAAAAGGTGATATTGGTTGTTTAAATAGCAAAAAATAAATTAAAGCTTATAGTAAATTCATTATTTGAAATCGCTGATTCTTTAAGTTGTCCCAATTTCCCAAGAAGAATGAAAACCTCAGACTTGTGCCGAGTGCCGTGGCAATTGTCCTTGTCTAATGGGGGCTCTGCAGCATTGGCAGGATTCCTTCATTGCCCGCTTTCTTCTGCGTGTTCCCCTTATGGGATGGGGGCGGGTGGAGGAGCGGGGGGCGTGACACCCTCGCGAGCGCATAAAAAAGCGCATGGGCCACTTAAGGCACGAAACGCCCGCCTCCCACATTTTGCCCCTTCGAGTGGCTTTAATTGTGAATTAAGACGGTATTGTGCAGCGAGGACGACAGGTATTGCTGTCTGTGTCCTGCGGCCAGGGTTGCCATCCAGCATTCGGACTCAACGCCTCCCAATGCCGAGGCTATCCATTGTCGACGGCATTTGTCCCTTTGTCTCGGCCTCAATTCGACCCCCGTTTTATTTACTTGGTTAAGCGGCATAATTGTTGCTATTTTCGTGCCAATCGCTCTCGATGCATTGTCAATGCCAGGGCAGACCCTTCGACCGCCTTTGATCCTCCTCACCTGGTGGCAAGGTCACGGGACAGGCCGGAAAATCGTTTCAAGTTGTTTGTATCGGCGTCGACCTTTCATCACACGCTGGGCAGGAAGAACCATGAAAATAACACTAATTCCCATCGAAAATAGGTTTCAGGAAGGACTCGGAGAATTTCATTTCAGGGCAAAGCTTGTTTTTCATCAAGACAGCCTTCTTAACTTAATGTTTTACTTAAAACATTACAAGTTTTTCCAATTATAGATTCAAACAGTTTATTTTTTTTTTTACAAATTTTGTGAAATTACTCTTATGTTTTCATAGATACATAGCATAATAACTAATCATTTTGTAATCAAGAGTATACATTTTGTACATTTTTAAACAGAAAGAGCTCAGATAGAGATGGTAGTCCAAATAATTATTCTGGTGATCTGCACCATCTGCCTGAAGCACTATGCCAAAGGGGAGTTTCAGTGAGTATAAAACCGAGATTAAGGCCAACCCTTCCAATATCGATACAACGTTTTCCTCCCAAAACAAAGACAAAGTCTGGCCATAACCGACATCCTTCCCGAGGACATCAAGCGCTACGATAAGATGAGACCGCCCAAAAAGGAGGGCCAGCCCACGATAGTCTACTTCCATGTGACGGTGATGGGTCTGGACTCCATCGACGAGAATTCGATGACATATGTGGCGGATGTGTTCTTTGCTCAGACTTGGAAAGATCACCGCCTGCGATTGCCGGAGAATATGACGCAGGAATATCGATTACTGGAGGTGGACTGGCTGAAGAACATGTGGCGGCCCGATTCGTTCTTCAAAAACGCCAAATCGGTGACCTTTCAAACGATGACCATACCAAATCACTACATGTGGCTGTACAAGGATAAAACGATACTCTATATGGTCAAGCTGACTTTGAAGCTATCCTGCATCATGAACTTTGCCATCTATCCACACGACACCCAAGAGTGCAAGCTGCAAATGGAGAGTCGTAAGATTTCTTGGGATAGCCATAAACTATAGAAATGATTAAAAAGCATTTCCTTTAATTTAGTCTCCCACACCACGGACGACCTAATCTTCCAGTGGGATCCCACCACGCCCCTCGTGGTGGACGAGAACATAGAGCTGCCGCAGGTGGCTCTGATTCGAAATGAGACGGCCGACTGCACTCAGGTGTATTCCACGGGTAACTTCACCTGTCTGGAGGTGGTCTTCACCCTGAAACGTCGCTTGGTCTACTACGTCTTCAATACCTACATACCCACCTGCATGATCGTAATCATGTCGTGGGTATCCTTCTGGATCAAACCGGAGGCGGCTCCTGCTCGGGTGACCTTGGGCGTCACCTCCCTGCTCACCTTATCCACGCAGCACGCCAAATCGCAGTCGTCCTTGCCACCGGTGTCCTATTTGAAGGCGGTGGACGCCTTCATGTCCGTCTGCACGGTGTTCGTGTTCATGGCCCTGATGGAGTACTGCCTGATCAATATCGTCCTCAGCGACACGCCCATTCCCAAGCCGATGGCCTATCCGCCCAAGCCGGTGGCCGGTGGTGATGGGCCCAAGAAGGAGGGCGAGGGCGCTCCTCCAGGAGGCAGCAATTCGACGGCCAACAAACAGCAGGCCACCATGCTGCCACTGGCCGATGAGAAAATCGAGAAGATTGAGAAGATCTTTGACGAGATGACCAAAAACAGAAGGGTAGGTGTACTTAAATTACGAACTTGTCCATAAGATTAGAAAAATGTTTCCACTATTCTTCACAAAACTAACTTTAATTCAAGTAGTTTAGTAGTGACTCATAAATCTCTTCTGTTGGAATTCCCTTCAAGGCATTTTAAAAATTAAATGAAATCCCATTGACTCAAAAGAAAATACTAATAAATTATTTAAATTGGTATTTAATTTGATAAAGATTTACTTTGAAAAACACAGGCTTTTATGAATCACTACGATTTTATTCGTAAATTTCAATATCTTGAAGCTTTGACTAATATGGATATGAAACGGAAAGTGCTTTCGGTATTAATAATTACATTCAATTATTATATTTACTTAACTAAAAAATCATTTTTTGTTTATTTTTAAACTGGTTTTGTTTTTGATCAACATTTTCTTGGAAAAGCACAGCATTTTGCGAATGAATTCGATTTCATTCATTAGTCATCATTATTTATTTGCTTTGACTTTTAGGGATGTAAAACAGAAATTGATTTCGTTTAAAATTTGTATTTATAATTACATTTAATCATTAAAATTACATTACTAAGAACAAAATTATTTTTTAAATTTTGAAATTGATAAACATTTACTTGGGAAAGCGAAGCCTTTTGTGAATGACTTCGGTTTCATTCATAAATTTAAATATCTTGAAGTTCATGATGTTAGTCATCATTTTATTTTTGCTTTTAGAGATATGACAGTGAAATAGCTTTCGGTTTAAAATTGTATTTATAATTACATTTAAACGGAAAAGATTTCTTTAACCCCCGATAGTATTATATTTTTTTATAATATTTTTCTGAGAACTGTAATATTTCTGTAGATTGTTACCACCACGCGACGTGTGGTGCGTCCGCCGCTGGACGCCGACGGTCCGTGGATTCCGCGGCAGGAGTCGCGCATAATATTGACCCCCACGATTGCGCCGCCGCCACCGCCTCCACAGCCGGCGGTACCGGAACCGGAGCTACCCAAGCCCAAGCTGACCCCCGCCCAGGAGCGGCTCAAGCGGGCCATCTACATCGACCGCTCCTCCCGCGTCCTCTTCCCCGCCCTCTTCGCCAGCCTCAATGGCATCTACTGGTGTGTGTTCTACGAGTATCTGTAAGATCTGCATGCGAGACCGCTCTGCCCTGTACATACACTTTCGCTCCATCCGAGTGTTAAACGTTGATTGTTCGCATATATCGAAACGTATATCGCAAATTTACTCTTAAGCTTTCACGCACAAGCTTTAAGTCATTGAATTTTAAACATAGATGATTGTTGAACCACAAAACTTAAATATGAACGGTGAAGGAACACTGGATAAATTACAAATTATCAATTCAATTCCTAATGTGCTTAAAGTTAATCAAGTGACGTAGTAGCTGATGTAGATTAAGTGAATTGTAATTTAATGTCTCAAACAAATGCTTTTAATTGTAAATAAATAGAGAATCCATTTAAAAAGATTGTGGTTTGTGTATAAATATTTTAGAACCAACACTTTTGAAAAGAAAAATGTATAAGAACGTTTTTGAACCATATTTTTTAGTACATTCCCTTTGAAACAAGGAATTCAAAAATAAGCTTTTTATGAATCAGGGAGAAAGGTCGATGGGAACTTGGGTTACAAAATTTGTACCGAAACCCTTTTCAAGAAAAAGCTTTTATACTGCAAAAACTGAGCGCCAGATTCGCAAGGGAATAATATTTTAAGATCCAACTGTCAGTTACATTCCCCAGTTTAGTTATTTTTTCGCATAATAAAATCTTAGCAGCTTGGGCCAGACCATTCATTTTTTAACACCTTTTTCTTCGTCTTCTTTTTATACAACAGCAGTCATAAGTTTATTTCGCGTTGCTTTTTCTTTTTAAGGTGCCAACATTGGGTGGAACAATGGAACTTGCTCGGTTTTCTACCTTTCGCAGTTGTCAAACAGCTGCAGGGTGAAGAGGAACAGACTTATGAATACCCAATTAATTATGTTGGTCACACGCTCTACACTTTTGCCTTTTCACGGTCGTTAGTGACGCCGGAGCAAAAAGTAAAAGAGGGTTAAAAAACTAAAACCAAATTTACCTATTCAGTCAATGATAAACAGATGGAAAATATGGAAGAGAAGGCAGATCTGAGAAATCAACTAATTTAGTCCTAAAGCCTTGTAATTATTTACCAACAGTTCATTTCCACTTAAATTTCTATATTTTTGTTGGGGTTTCTCCATTTAATCGTGCGATATGATCAATCATATGTTTCCTTGTGAATATGGATGTTTGCGGTTTAACCATTTGCATTTGAAGTAGGCCAGGCCAAAGAGTTCGCTTCGTTTTGGGGAAACCACACCATGATTCACCACCCGAAAACCACATTGAACACGGGCCCAGTACTCGATGGAGTGGATTGCATTGGCGGAGGCTTCGAGAGCGGAAAAATAAGCTAAGGTTGCGCAAATAGTGTGTTTTTTGGACTGGGAAATACCTGAGGTTGAGCATTATGTGGGCGTGCTCAATGCAAATTTGTTTGGCTTAAAAGCAGGGGGTTCAATGAGTTGACTTTTCAAGGGAACACAAGATGGCTAAGTTGGTCAAATTTTTATTAGCTTTTTAATAAATCTATATATAAATAATTTTTTTTAATTAGGAAAATCATAAATTTAAGTGGCTCTCTGAGAGCTCAAAGTCTCAGCTCTTGCACAGACAATGCCCAAAGTCTGAAGAAAGTAAAAATCCAGCTGACAACCTCGCGGCTACCGTCGCGGCTCTTAAGTTCCCCCAATCCCAAAGACACCCCCTCCCCGCTCTCACCTCTTTAAAAGCCGAAACGAAAACGAAACGAAATGCTCCATCGACAATAACAACAATAAAGGCCAGGCCAAAGCTGCCTGACAACGACGCCACAAAATGTTATGTTGTTGCCGCTGGTGTGATGTTGTCTTCGGCTTTTGCAGTTTCAGTTTCAATTTCAGTCGAACTCGGGCAGCAACGGCACACGGAAGCAGGCCGCACACTCCGTTCCAACTTCAAAAAAACCCTTTTAAAAGGCCCGAAAAAAAACCGACCTTATGATCTCGATGCAATCGGACATCGGTGTGTGAACTGCCAAAAACACCTTGTTTCATTCGTGCACCCAGGGAACAGAAAGTGAAATTCGTGCACTTTTCACAACCAATTTCGCAATCGTTAATAAAAATAAATATTACAAAATTCAATTAAAGCAATTGGCAGCTCGTTAAAGTTTACACCAAGGCTAAATTGTGGTTCAGCTAAGCCAAGATAAAGAAACCGAAAAAAAAACGTCGCCGCGGCTTAACACTTTTTAACACTTTCATTTTCGTTCAGAGTCGTTTTCGTTGGGTTCGTCATCACAAGTAGCGCGGTCGCCTTTCGTCGAGTGTGTTAAATAATAGTAAACAAAAAAGTGAACGAAACTACCACATTTTTCGGCAAATGTTCAACGGCTTGGTGATCTGAAAACGGAAACTGCATTTTAAGTTGATGTTCGGCAAGATGCAAACGAAGGTGTTTCTGCTGTGTCTGGGTTGGTATTCAAAATAACACAATAAGATACAATAGCGAATGCAGGGGAGATTGGCCCCGAAATTAACAGATAATTAACCTAGTTTTGGGCATCTCGAAATTCATTGGAAATTTGGTAACAATTTGTGGTCGGCTTATGGTTGATTTGTGCTAATGTGCTGCGCAAAAAAATACCAAAGGAAAACAAAAGACTTAGGCAACGAACTTGCGCATCCAACGAAAGTCTGAATGCAGCTGATGATTGGGGCTTGCGTTTTTTTTTTCTTGGTTTTCCTAACCATCGCCATGATTTGTGCAACGTGAGGTGGCTTGCAACTTTCTTTGCCCGCCACTGCCAATAAAGCTTCCGCTCGGTGACGTCAGAGCCAAAGAAACCAGCTGGCATGCAAATCACATAGATACGGACACCAAGGCCAATCGGAGATCTCCCCTGGCCCGAACCGAAGTACACTTGTGTACGTGTTTCTTGGTATTACCGCAACGCCAGGCTTGACCATCTATTATGCAACAACAAAAAAAAACTTGTCAACGCCGCTGTTTGTTGGCTTTTAAGTCGTTTTGGCCGTTGCCGGTGCCAAAACTCCAGGCGGTTTTGCCGATGGCCCGACCATGAAGTGTTCAATTTTATGTTATTTCTGCCGCTTCGGAAGTTGGTGCAGCTGCTGTTTGTTTCTTTGATCCCCCTCCGCCCCTCTGTGGGGATTACTGACGGTTTTCCAGCAGCGTTGACATCTACACTGCTTTCTTGGGGATTTTCACTTTCGTTTGCCATGCAATTACAGGAAAATTATTTGGCTGCAGCTTACGAAACCCCTGGGCTTCTCTTAATTGGATTACTACTAAAATAAACATCTAACGTTTAGAGATGAAAAGTTTTTATGGAGTTTTATATATATAAGAAAGGTATACTTATATTAAATTTTTTACAGAAAACGAAAATAATATTTTTTTTAATATTACAAATTTAATACACTATTCGAAATACACACACTACATTTCTTTGGATGGGAAATTAACGGAAAAAACCCAAGTTCACATTTTATTTAGGGTGTTTTAAAATTTAGAGTCAAATTCTTGGACACTATTACTTGAATTTCGTAAAGAAGACTTTGCAAATATCTGAAAATGTTCTTGGCAAATAATTTTGGTTTAATAATATTTCAAATAATTTTCCCTTTTTTTCAACGGAATGTGTGACACTTTTTTGGGTCAAAATACACAAAAGACCGAACAACAATGAACCGAAACGAGAGCACGTATCTATAGCGAATGTGCTTAGTCTGTCTAGGGCCTCCGGGGCATTCACTTTTCCCAAGAAATTATTTCTATATAAGCCCTATAATTGGCCAATATTTCATTGTGTTGGGGCGCAGCAACAAAGTAAAGCATTGCCATTTGGTATGGGCAATTTTATTCCAAGTGAAAGTGGCAAAGTTGCAGTGCACACCTCGAAAAATGTTAATGAGCCGCGTTCGAATCTGGCATAAAAGCAAAACAAGAAAACCAAAATAAAGCAGAAAAAGGTGAAATAAAACCGAAACTGTAGCAGCTTAACCCAAATCACTGAAAGATAATCAATTTTGTTTTCCTTCGCTGCGAGGTGAAATCTTTTGCGACCTTGAGGCTCGTTAACTTACATAAAGAATCACCCGGGAGGAAGTTCCTCTTCGGGGAGATCTTCCCCACCAAAAACTGTCGAGTCATTAAGCAAACAGAGACAAGCCCACCAAAAAAACCCCAGCAATCCAACCCAAACGAACTGAGATTATGTCACGGCAGCCAAGCAAAATAAACACACAACTAAATAAACCTTAAGCGCTTCAGTTGAACAACGACATACTTTCTCATTTAAGGGACGAGGGAGGAGGTGGGGGCGGTCCACAGATGCGTAATGCCAATTTGTGACATTATTCAACCGGCGACGACAACGAAAGACTTTGCATAGGACCATTGTTTGGTTTGAAGTGAGTTAGGTCAGTTAGGAGCTCGCGGATCTCAAGTACTTCCTGCTCACAAACATTTTATAACTGCCAATGAACAAATTATAAGTGCCTCAGACAATAGTATTAAGCAAAAATAGATTTTATTTATCTACATTTTTTTAAGGGCCGCTACTTAATAGAAAATACAGCAAATTTTTGTTGGCTTAATATTTAAAGTGTTATTTTAAGTGCTGCCACTGTTTTTTAATGAAATGTTTATGAAATTATACATTTACAAAAATGTGTTTATGTTTTCAATTATAAAACTTAAAAGTACATTTCTTCACAAAAAAAAACTATTTTTGTGTGGCTGAATACTATACTATAGTGTACGTTATCAAATAAAATCAATAAATAATCGATAAGGCCGTGTTATCTGAATGCCTCACAAATATATTTCACAAAAAAATTATCTAATAATATTTATCCGATATTATTTGCAATCCATTTTCTCTAGGTAAAAGTACCAAAACATTTTTGTACTTTAATTGAAAGTCGATTATTGTTAGTTTAGTTTTTTTAATTTGTATATTAAACTTAACTATATGAAGTTTTTTCGTTCTATAGGTTTAATATACAGCCATTATTAATGCATTTTATTGATATTTGGTAGATTTTTGATTTTATATGCCTACACAACATCGCAATTCGGTCACTTGTCTATAAGCTACAAAAGAGGGTTAGCCATATCGCTGGGTCCTAGAGGGTTTGGGAATAATTCAGTAAACTTGTAGTTAAATTGAAAATAAAGTTTAAATTTTATTTTTATTTTCATTTTGGAATAAATAAACTTTACTAACTTTTCTGGCTTCTTTACAGTTTTCTCTCTGGGATCATATCCGCCAGCTCGAGGGGAATCGGATGA